TTTGTTATTTCCAATAATTTTATCTATTCAATTTGTTTTCCTCATTTCTGAACATGAATATACATTATAAGTAAAAATGGATATTGGCTAGCAGTGGAATCCAGAACGCGCGTTTCGTCCTATTTAGGACTTATCAGCTAGATGTACCTGCATCTCACATCACATTTACTGATTTAGATTAGTAACCATGAAAAATTTGTCGATTACATCTTTAACTTCTATTCGATTAACCTAACTAACAGTGAATAGTCTTTAATTTTGTAAGACTATTTATCAAAATCTTCTCCAGAGTTCATATTAATCTTTACTATTAATCAAATCTGAAATTTTTATAAAGTTAATGATTAATAAATGATCACATAATTAAAAAATAATGTAATATTTTTTAAATGCTTACATAATATTTCTATTAAATTCTAATCTATTTCATTAATTTACATTGTTCTTATTTATGATGAAGTATTCAATATGAACAAGAGTTATTTCTCATGAAACTGATTGAAACTTTTCATACAGCTTATCTATATACATAAGTAATGAATTTTGTATATGATTTAAGGAAAGGTTAAAGGTCAACCACCAAATTCAATTTAAATAAATCTCTGTAAGCTAACAATATAGTTGTAATACTTTGTAATTAATACATCAAGTGATTCATTTTACTGAATTCAAGTTTTGATCATTAAACGTAATCAAATTATATTAAATACTGTGATAAACTGTGATCATATTGAACTTTTTAAGTTAGATAGATCAAATGATTAGATATTGTAATTTGGATGTAAATGTACTGATAAACTTATACTTTTCAATATGAGGTTGTGAAAGTTGTTGAATGTCATCGAAATCATAAACGATCTACGTTAGACTACTACTGAAAACGTGGAAGCACCGGACAACTGTTTCATCTTAATATGGGTTCCTGATTTCAGTCATCTTACATTTGTTTTCCTTGTATATATACTAGGTGTTTACACTTAAAATATATGAGACGTCTTTTCATGAGAGTCATTTGTGATGAAATATGTTTCGGTGATTTATTATTTAACATTTACTACTATGTATTGCACTATGTTATTAACATAAATACCTAACTAGACTTATGAATAAATCATTTTCAATGTTAAATAAACGAGATTATCCCCCTTTCATCCTTTTCTATAATAACGGAGTTGTTAGTTAGTCGTATACATGTGTCCATGCATGCGCACTTTTAATTTTACTAATTTTAACATACAGTGTTATTGTTTTGCATGAGATCATCAAGTTTGCAATAAACATATTTATTGATTCGTTAAATGTTATCGTAGTAGTTTTAACTAATGCCTGTATATGTGATCCACATTTTATTGTTTAATGTTTACAAAAATTAGTACGAATGCACAGTTTATTTGCTTTGATTTCATGCATGTCTATTGTCTAACTTTCTCACCCCTTCTCTCTTGGTTCTGCACAAATACAATTACAAAACGTTGCTGGTTTACAACCATGGATTCTTGCATGCAACATTCTATGCTTGTTTGTTAATTACGATTTGTTTTTATGCGGGTGGTACATTAATAAATTTATTTTCACTTGGTTGGTTGGTATGGCGGCGAAACTCTCATTTTATCTCACTGGTTGAGAATGGGTTTTAGCAACAGAAAAAACGACTTGTATCAAAATCATATCATCTTCATAAACGCAGGTCAGATTTTGATTCTTGCATCAATATTGCACCAAATGTCAACGGACAAACGTCTACCACTGCTGCTAGATACCATTCAGACAAAACTAAAAATGATAGACTTCATGATGAGGTTGTGCGATTCAATGATGATCATGATGATACTGATATTGAAGACAATGAGATTTCACGCGTAACGCGTAGATATCGCAATACAGTTAATGTTCTTAAATGTGTCCGTTACACTGGAACATTCCTATCATTGATATATTTACTTGTAAAGCTCCTTTATTTATGTAATTCAGTTGGCCAATTATTTTTAATGCAATACTTTCTCGGTTTTACAAACTATAATTCTAGTTTATTTGGCATGAGTATTTTATATAATATACTACATGGTCAAGATTGGCGATCAACCTTAATATTTCCACGTGTAGCTTATTGTTATGCACCAGTAAAACACTTGGGTACAAAAGTTAACACTGCTACAGCTCAGTGTGTCTTACCAGTAAATATGTTAAATGAAAAAATTTACATATTTCTCTGGTGGTGGATTCTTTTAGTTTGTGTAGTGAATTTTCACAGTCTACTTCGATGGTGTTTACAATTCGTCTGTCAGAATCGCGGCTGTCAGTTTGTAATAAACTACATTAAATTGTCGAACGTTTTAACTTCATCTGAATTATATTTTGCTGAGAAATTCGCACGTAAATTCTTACGACGTGATGGAATGTTCCTGTTACGCATGCTTGCACTGAATGCTGGTGAAATGGTCACGTCTGATATTGTCAATGAAATGTGGTTGAATTACCGTAGAATTGTGATTGAGCCGGTGATTGAAAATCATAAACATCATAGTCAGAGAATATATCATAACGAATCTAGTTGGAATCGAGGGTCGAAAATTGATTCTTCAACTATAACAAATGAAAATGGGTACTTGGATACATCTGAGTCATCATCACTAAAGAATAATAAACAAGATAATATGAAAGCGAGTATTGAACTGATAGATCTACCTGGAAGATAGTCCTTTGTTTAAATGATGGTTCACTATGTATGCATGTGCTTGTTCTTGGGTTTCTAGATTTTCAATTCAATTTCAAATAAATGATATGAATGAGAGGAACCAAACTACCGGTGACTTTTTTCAGCTTTTCCTTTCAGTTTGTGCCTTGTTTTTCGTTAAATGCATTTTTCATTTTCATGGTCCATAACAAGACGATGACTAAGATTATAATAATATTTATTTTTTTGAAACTTTTTGACGCGCATCATGCTAACAATGCCACTATTACTACTAAAATTGTTATAAGTAGCCATTTTTGCCAAATAAAAATATAGAATACAATGGATTTTGTCATACTATAATGAAAAAAAGAACATATCAAATTTACTTACTTTTCTTCATTGACTTGAGATAGAGAGTGACTTTCTCATCAATGCAGATTTGATAACATTACACTTTCAGTTTGACAATATGATGTATACCTTCACTTAAAGTCATACTTCTTGGTAATTTAAACTAGTTAGTGATAATTAATGTTTTAAGATATATCTGGGGATGAACCGATTGGTAACAAGTGTAAATTTTTGGTTTTTGCGTGTTGTTGAACTAGTCACCATCATTCATTTTTATTTAGTGAACTAAATGTTTTGCTTGAGGACGAAAATGAATCTTCACTTCAGAAAACTAACTTCTTGACCACTTTTTATGTAATTCACAATCGTCATGATATGAGGCTATTTTTCACCAAATGATGTTTGTCACTTAAACCAGCATCAAATAAGATGTTTACACAATGGTGACCTTAGTTAGAGACCTCATGAAATTGCGAATCAATTGAAGTTCGAAACATGGACAGCTAGATACTTCTACGATGGGTTAGTAGTACCAGGCTCATCAAAGCTACTTGATGTTTCTTGGTTTGAAAATACAGAAGACAATGGACACGAAAGAGCGCCAAGATATTTAATTTAAATGGACCAATTGTTGACGGAAATTGCTTTCAGAATACATAAAACCACCCTGGTTTAGTACTGTAGTTTTAAGTGTGACGGGCTTGTTAATAACCAGGTATAACTCTTTCACATATTCCACTATAACATCCATCCTCATAAATCAGTGAGATAAATTGTATATACACAGCATTTTTCATCTGTCTGTACCTCATGTGCACTTGTTCATTCAACATTACGATTACTCGTGCTATTGTTTGAAAAAAAATGTCTCAAACCAAACACTAACACAACGCCACTTCGTTGATAGTCTATTAATATATCTGAAAAGGTACTATAAACATACAGAATTAGTTTGCTTGTAGTCTTCTCTCATACACATGCATCTCACAAAGTAGACGCTATAGCGTTTAAACCCATGCACATCTACCAATGACGATATCAGTTTGCCAAATTGTTATTCAGATTACAATTCCAAGCTTTGAATTTTTCAACAAACCATTTGCATATTGGGAGGGCTACTTATCAACGACACCAGAAAAAGGATTATTTCGTATTATTGATTTACTGATCCGTTAGAAGATCGAGTGTTAAGGGATTCTATTATGTGGATATTTACTATTGAGAATGTTTTATAATCTGTCGTATAAACCAAACCATACCTTTATACAAAACTCATGCTCAGCTGACGGTGAATTAGCAGTCAATTTGCGAAATGTTACTTTTAGATATACAAACCCAAAAAGTTACATTTAACTACTGTTTAGTACGACTATTTTTTAATTAATAGGGTGTAACCATTCAAATAATAGGTTGGTTTAATCATGAGTGGATTTAATTTTCTCCGCTTATAGACTCCAATACTGTACATTTTTAGATGATGATAGTTAGTCTGAAGCGTTCCACTTGAAATGATCATAATTTCAATAATTTTTTTATGACTTAAGTCTACTGTTTACTATTCCAAATCAAGAAACGAATTATGATGGCTCACTTTCTATTATAATATATTAGACATAATTCACATGAGTAAACTGATAATTTTGGTCACAGAATCAGTCATATACAAAAAACAAAACAACTAACCGACTGACTGAGTGCAATAATAAGTACCATCATGGACAAAATATATAACCAAATAAGAATAAAAATGACTTATTTGTCAGTCGACCAACCAATAGTAGATGATGAAATGAAGGTTGTAAAGTAACTACTGGTTATTCGACTTTACCAATCATAATGAAATGCTTGATATTACACGAATATTCAGTGAAATATCCCTTATTTTGCATTACATTTAGCCATGAAAATTTTATGTATTAATTTTTTTGAAAACATAAATTCCCTCTAGTATTTTTCTGTTTTCTTTATATAGCAACGTGAATACCATCATGGATTATGGCCTCGAGTACGTCGTAGAATGAGGAAATGGGGTTATTTATTCTTCATAAGTAAACGTCTTGGAACACGATTATTTGGAATTTATTTATTCATTAAATGTCTTTATTTATTAAATGCAGTCGGACAAATATTTATGATGCAATCATTTCTTGGTTTAAAATCAAATTATACATTATTTGGTATAACTATATCTAGAAATATTTTAGCTGGTCTCGATTGGGAAGTGACAATGATTTTTCCGCGTGTTGGATTTTGTTTGGTTCCTTTAAAACATTTTGGATCTAATAATTATGCAACAGCACAATGCGTTCTACCAGTAAATATGCTTAATGAACGTATTTATATGTTTTTATGGTTTTGGATTGTTCTCACTGCAACAATTACAGCTATCAGTATACCGGCGTGGTTTACACGTATGAGTTATGAAAAATCACGTACACATTTCATAAAAAAATATTTAAAACTTGGTGAACAAGTTAGTAGGAAAGATAAATATATGGTGGAAAAATTTACCTTATTATTTTTACGTAACGATGGTGTTTTTCTACTGCGTATGATTGCTATCAATGCCGGTGAATTGATTTGTTCTGAAATAGTTTGTCAATTATGGCATATATTTCGTGAAAAATATTTCTATCGTGATTTAACAAGTTGTAGACGTGACTGCAATCAAATGCATCATTTAGGCTTGAGATTATCTCGTGGTATTGTCAATTTAAAAGCAAGACATTCCAAAGAAAATAAGCAAATTAAATTGGAAGCTACAGCTTCAGCACCTCCACTTACTGATGCACCTCTTGGAACAGATGAAGACGAAGGTGGTTACGCTGATGATGATGAAGATGAACAGAAAGATATAAAAAAACATTATGGCAAAAAGTATTCATGGGAACAAAAGGAGTCCGTTTGAATATATTATTGTTAACACATATATCGTCACCTGTAAACAGTCATAAAAGTTGCTTTGAGATGTACAGATTACATTATGATTTATAAACATATCCAGCTCATTTTTTTATAAACATTTTTTTAATGAAAAATATTTATCAAAATTATTATTTTTTTGTTATATTTGCAATTTATTAGTGAACTTATTGAAGATAACTAATGAGTTATCTTTAGTTTACTTTCCTTTTTCTTGAGTGAACTCAAGCAAGTAATTTCCCCTTATTGTACAGTTAACCTTCTAACTGATTATGTTTTCTTTTTTTGAATTGATAGAGAGTTTATGCATTTACGCAAATCATTTGTAATTAAATTATTTATTGTTATACTTTAGATATCAGTATTATTATTGACTAATAAAAGTTATCTATAAAGAAATACATAGAAAATATTATGTAAGCGATGTTCCTGGTTATGTGCCGATCACTATCTAAGAGCAAAGTTTATCATGCATAAATGAAATCCATTAAAGCTTACTAAAGAATTTTTTTCTAATCGATCTGTGATTAGGGAAGTAAGTATATAATCAAAAAGAAGCTGATCAATAATTTATCACAGTATGACACTGAATAACCTTCTAAACTGATCTGGGAATGTATTCATGTACTTTATTAAAAGGAATGAAAAGGTCTATAGTATACAAACAAATGTAATTTGAACCTGATAAATTATTAAACCTCATGTGAATTAGTTGACATGATTTATTTTACTCAGGTCGGAATACAATGGTAAATGAAATTTATTCACCATGAAATAGAGTTCTTTGAATTTCTTCCACTTAGTATTCATTGACGAAAAGAGATCATAGATGAGGAGGGTATCAGTAGTAGATGTCAGTAGTAAGCAAACTACGATTTATACAGACGCTGATTTGAAGGTCAGTCAGTCAGCTGCAACGTAGGACCAGGCACATATATACATCGGTCCAAGTTGCCATACTGCATTAGCACAACAAGATGAACACCGGATTTATAGAAGTAGTTAATTCAGTGGTGGTAATATGTAGAAGAAAGATTGCATATAAGGAGATAGTACATGAATAAAGAATTAGTTCGTAGAAAGAAAGATATGAAGCGATCTTAATCACTTGGTTTAGAAGAAGACAGAGAGTGTATACACCGACGCCATTGTGATCGATTCTGAGCCATGTCACTACCAATCTCCAACCATTGATTACGATAGTCACTTGGACCTCAACCAAGTAGTCTGCATCTACCAACATGGCTCAGACCAGAAGTTAGTGACTTCAAGCACTGATGCCACGTTTCAGTTCAGCCGCCCCTAACTTTCTTCCAATCATCCCGAACACTGGTTAGCATTGCGTGCCGTGGTAATCTGTGTTCAGGCATGCGCAACACGTGGCCCAACCATCTCAGTCGATGATTTGAAGGTAAATATACTTAAAATTATCCATCATGGATAAACTCTGGATAGATGGCTATAATGGTAGATTAACCTTTCTGAAAAATAATTTAGCTAACTTTCAGTAACTTTTTAGTTGGACATTATTCAAACACAATCTGAGCGGTATGTCAGTTTTAATTGAGAAATTAATTTCAAACTTGAGACTAAGAAATCAGGATATCATAATTATTTGTTTCACGAAAACTTTAAGGATACTCCTCTCAAAATAATTTAATGAGAGATTAATGTCCTTGTTCTTTTGAGTCGTTGCAAAATATGGTCACTTGAGTCGGTACAGTACTGTACTAAGTTCATTACATTTATAGTTATCTGTGTGTATAAGTACTGAAATGATTTCAACTGGTTCATGCTATTAATTTTATATAATAGTCAATAGTTCTAAAATTTAAGACAAGATTTATTTTAAATGTAGTGCGATTATGCTATTTAAGCTTTTCAGACATAAAAGAAAATTTAATTGAGAAGAACGCCTTTAAAAATGTCGTCAAACAACTTGTCCCACCAATATTGACCAGTTAGATGGGTTATTCATGTATCTTACTGAAATAATGAAACTTATTTACCAAGTATGTGTTAATTCTTCAACACTACTCTTAACAAAGGAATTTGTGAAAGTAGGTTTCATTACACTTTATATGATTAGGGTTACTGCTGAAACTCTTTCAAATAAAAGCTTCTTTAGTTTATAGTGGTCTTTCTTCAAAATAATTTTTATGCTTGTTATGTCATTCGTCATAAAAATCGTTATTAAATAATTCCGGATAGTGTATAAATTTTAGGAGATAAAACGGAGAGATGACCACAGTTTATCATTATACAGTGCAGATCAAAAGTCATAAACACATCAAGATAATATGATCGAAGTTGTGAATTGGAATGATTGAATGAATGGGATTCAAGAAGTAAGCAAACGAATGAGCCATCAAAGGATTTGAGAAACTAACATACATGTGTAGATTGCAATTAGTGATCAAGCATACATGGTCATAGAAACATGAGGAAAATAGTACAAAGATATAAGCAAACTGTTACTGAAACAGGTGACACTATTGAATAACCCATAGGATTTGATAAGTTTAGACATGTACGAACTCGAGTATAGATAACAGTACTGTAAGCTACACATTTTTCCACATAACACCTTTAAACATAAATAATGCACGACAGTATTAAACATACCACAAGGAAAATATGATTTATATACGAAGACGTTTATATTCTAATCGACCTGGTTGCTAGTGTTATTTTGATGAATAACTTGAAAGTTCATCCAAAACCATTTGTCATACGCTCGCTCATTGTCCCTTACCATATCTTAAGACGTGGTTACCTTTTCAAGATCAATAATATAACTATGATCCCCTCATTGTATTTTATCTGCATTGTTACGTTTTATTTTTTGGCAGAATTTCATTAATTTACTTGGATCAAGTTTGAAAACAGCACTATTTTCTTTACTCACATTTTCTGTTTGGTGTCTGATATTCGGATAATCTTTCTTCTTCTTGGAACATTAAAAAGGTGACATCGCTAGGAGCGACATATACTTTCATTACTTCTTGCATTTTTAAAAGTTCCACTTTGAATTTCCTATCACCCCTCTAAATTTTGTCTTATTTAGTCTCATATGTTTTATATAATCTGTTAAATTAGTCTATACATCAGAAATGTCTCGATGAAAAAAATTTACTAACTAAACTTATGTGTGAATTACTTTTAACAATATTTTCTGAATACATGTGACAGCCATGCAACCACGTTCACAATCACACTAAGACAATCAATATTTTTTGTACTATCTTAATTCCAAGGCTTTAAATAGCTTATTATTGTTAAATTTTGTATGCATTTAATGTGGATAAATGAATGAAGCGTGAGACAACAAATAATCTATTTGATCTAATCTGCCTTAACTGAATACATAAATATGATGAATCTGGTTATAATTAACTTTATTCCTACTTTACTTGTCGTTTTTGTGTTTTACGTCAGTTACTTTGATAATTTTTAGTAATACTTCTGATTCAACTAGTTTATAGTTTCTTTTTGAATGCAATTCATTGAAAGTTTGGTTGTCTAGAACAATTCCATTACATTCTGGAAGTTTTTCTCCAATGTATTTTTGTTGATTGCATAAATAATCTGTGTTGTTTTCTGATGTGTTATCATAACTAATAGGCTGAATAACTGTATACGGGAATGTTATGTGTCAAAAACGTTTTTTTATTTTTCTGCCCTTTAGAATTTGGTTTATTTGATCGGTTATGTGTTTGTTTAACTGAAACGTTTGTAAAACAGTGAAGAACTAATAAACGTAATATTGTAAATAATTGTACATGATGAATTTATAATAGAAACGTATTAAGGACAACTCAAGTAATTACAAGTAATTTGATGACATAAAAAGTATCTGACTTAACGAAACAAGTGATGTGTGGTAGTGAAAATAAAGTATGATTGATTGTTGAGTGTGGATAAAAAGCCACAGCCTATGGACTATCAATTATGTAATTTTCCTTCTTACCATTGATTTCTATTCTCAACTCACTGTATGTGACTGCTTGTAATTATATTGAATGAAGTTTTCTCTAATGTTAAATTGGTTCTTTAATTTATGTCACGAATTCTGGTTCTAATATAATATGATTGACCTTATTAACGTATTATTGTAATAAACGTGTGAGAGGAAAAAAGTATTGTAAATCATTCGTTATCTAAACAAGTAATGTTTTCTCACTAAATGATATATCAAAAACAAAACATAGAATACACAGAAAACTAGATGGGAATAAGCAATATGAGAAATCCTATAATCACATGACTGAAGCATGGAGAATTTCCTTAAAATAACCAAAGTGAAATGACTTAAGTACATAAGTTTTATTCATTATATATAAATAGATCACTCAGTGAGATATGTTCAAGAAGTTATATCTGCATTCAACTATGTCAGTTACATTTTTAATTAAATGCTGTTGATAATGGTAACAACAAGTTATTTTTAAAGAAGATAATATATTCTGGTGTTGAAATCATTAAAATTTAATAGATTTAAATAATTTTAATATGTTCATTTTAACTAATGAAATATTCTGAATTATGGAAGTACAGAAACTATACAATTTCGCTTGGAAGAACAAGTGAATCTCAACCAGATAAGAAGAATATTATTAAATGCTTGTTTTTGAGCCACTGTTAGCCAATGAATAGTTGTCCTATTTTTATTTGGGTTACATGAGTAGTCATTACATAAGTCTTATGCAAGTTATATCTTAACCTATTCTGACTGGAGTTATCTGTAATGTTATTTATATTGAAGTAAATTGTCTTATCTAGTGCCTACAGTCATTTCTGAGTTCATTAAGTGCGTAAGCGCTACTAAGTCATGCCATTTTCACCAGAGATTTCATTTAAAGCCTTAACTTTCAATATATTTTTGCTATTTATCCTTCATGTTCGGCTGAGATATATTGACATATCCGTTGTAGATGATTTATGATTACTTTAGACACTTGAAATGAAATCTTTAATGAAAATTATGCTATAACATAAAGTATTTATCAACCAAATGAACATAAAAGAGGCCGAAAGTGGCGAACATCACATACTCCTATTCCATTTCTCGATTCATGTTTCTGATTGGTGGAAACTGAGTTGAATCAGAAGGCCGGATCAGGAGGGAAGACATGTTAACTCCGTACCCTGAATATAAATAAATCTGTAACCTAGATGTTCTGACTCATTATTTAAAGCAAAATCCATATACTATAGCCATTGGAAATGACAGTCCTTCAATCATTCGATATATTAGTTTAATCTGATTTTAATTGGTTAGTTGTTTCTAGTCGTAAAAATTATTTTTCATATTAACTTCCTTTAAAATACCTACCTACGGATGAGAAAATAATTCTGGTTTGGATCTGAATTGAATTGCGAACTGCGACTAACTTGAATTTCTACTAATCTCAGATGATTTACCTCTACATATTTTTATTACTGTTTAATTATAATCCTGGATTGTTGTGTTAAAATGAAGGTATTAAAGATAATTGAATTCCACAATTGTGGAAAAGTGATGACCGATATACAAACAATGTCGAATAAAACGTTATCAATCACCAAAGGACTTGAGAAAGAATTAATTAAATATAAAGTGGATAAAATATTCTTATTTATAGCAAAACAAATAGAAATAGAAAATCAAATATAAGTGACTTGAACAAGTGGATTATTCTGTTTTAGTATGATTGAACGCTGGTGGAATTTCGGTTGTGGAATAACCAAACTAGAGATTAGCTGAAGTGCAATAGAATAATGCTTCCCTTCTGCTCTACAAGTAACTGTAACATTATGAAACTATAGAATGACAAAAAAAGTGGAGAAGGATGTTTTCTTGTCACCTTCTCTCGTAAGGTATACGTATTTGTAAAATCCTATTCAACTCCAATCAGATGTTTGCTCTAACATACCGATAGTTTCATATACTAAATTCTATGAAGTTTGACTTCCCTATATATGTCAAACTATATTTGAAAAATTGTTTGTAAAACATTACTAATGGCAAGCAGTTACTATGAATCTGATGAAATAAAGTGAATTCATTTCATCAATTAAAAGAATGTGCGTTACACTCCTATTGATATTGTTGACTTAGTTCTGATTAGTCCTTGTTAGGACATGTAGATCATGGTGTGAACATCAACACTAAGATGCACATATATCCGGCTGAAGAGTCCCAAATATGGTGAGATGTTTGTGGTGTATCCCACACCCATTCACATTTCATCTATTGTATGAAAATGCATTCATATTGTCATACAGAAATTGTTGCTATTTTCTCTCTTCAGGTTTTATTTATATTCGGACACTGACGAAAGTGCAATAAATTACCTAACTACATCTCGTTACTAATAATATTAATTTTTAAAGATAAAGATCTTTGTATTTCATTCTCTGAATGACTCTATACTGATTAAATCCCATTAGTAATCATGATTAAATTAGGTTATAATGATTTGATGACGTTGAAACATGGTCTTGTTACAGTATGAATTTAGATAAATCCGTCAAAAACTAGCTTCTTCACTGATCTAGTAAACACATTGGAATAGCACTCACCATGAGACGTGAAATAATTAAGTTTAATATTGTATAATATAATTGATTTACTTTTTTGGGGATTCCTTAAGTAAACAAGAAGGTCTTCTCCAGTAATTTCCACTTACAATTAGTTTACAGACGATTTCACTAATTCAGACCAGTTAATTTAAGCCCAGTATCTCCTTACTAGATTTTCTACTTCCAAGTTAAAATCTATGGGACTATGAAGTCTATTCATATAAAATGTACACGAAACGGAGAGAATCAGTTATCTACTAATTATTGAGATGAGTATATGTTTTCCACTACTTTCAAATGAAATAGTTGAAATGGCTTCTTGACTTAACAAGAAATTAGAAATCAGATTAGTCGGGAAATCGTACTTGATCTATGAAATTCGATCTACTCCTAAAGATCAGGCAAAATATCCAATTGGTGGCTATTCATTGATTAGTCAGTCGTGGAATTATCAGTCCAACAGGTCGATCACGACTCAAATAGCTCAATGGTAACGTATCAAACTGTATAGCTGATTGATGTGGGTTCCAGTTCTACGGGAAGTATCGAAAGTACGTTTTGCTGACGAGTGACGACTAACACGATATCTTAGCAGGGTTTTCCATCGACTATACTCAGTCAATTAACAAATAAAACGACAATTCACCGTTGATAGATGTGTAATATATATCTCCGTAATATACATACACATTTAAACAATACTAAAACACAGAATAAAAACAAAAGGTTACATAAAAAAGAAATATGATACAGATTATACAAAATAATTATTAACTGTACAGTATGATTTGTTTCTGTAAAAAATATAAGATGAAAGTAGATGAAATAATTTAAAAAGAGCAATTGATACAATGTATTAAGATAAATTCACACTGAAGTACACATTTATAAAGGGATATTCGTTATGATCTTAATCAATATCAAACTCCATTCAGTGAAAATAGATAGGATTTATGGTACTCCGGTTTCAATGCAAGTAGAAAATGGAAGATTGAGGAATATTTCACAACATCAGTTCAATTTCATGTTGTTGTCCAGGTGACATATCTGCTTTTCGTTTAGCCCGTCGACGTTGACGTGTTATGTAACAAAATAATATGCTTAAGACAAAAAATAAAGCGGCAGATGAACCAAGGGCGACTTTTTCCCCAAATGTAAACCAAGCCACTGGTTGACCTAACCATGAAACGAATAAAATAATGGTAATTATTTTGTTTATGCTTTTCATTGTAGCTGTGTTTTCTAAGAACTGAAAATGAGCGAATCCCCGTATATTTTACGCTCATCACTTGCCTACTTATAAGTAGGTAAATAAAATTCAAATAATTTTGAGTATTCCAGATTCGATAGATTAAACAGTCGAGTAGATCTCTACCAGCTATAAAACAAAGTATTAGTAATTTCTTCACTACCAAACTGTCATTAGGCGAATTTACACTGTTGAAAGATGTGGAGCTTATGAGTCTAGAAATTACTTTAATCCTACCTGATAATATCAAGAATGTCTAAGCTATGTAGCGTTTCGACTAAATCCGAAAAATGTAATTCTAACTTCAAAAAAATAGATATTGAATTTATTCAAAGACAGCGAATTCAGCAGGCAATCTGAGTCAAAATTGCCACCCAAACTTTCAGATTCTAGTCTCGACTTCGTAATTTTTATTCATACTGACAGTACATAACATGCTGGTAATTGAAATTTTTTTATCATTATTCTTAGATGAGAAAGAAATAAAACTTGAGGTTGATTGAAATATCGAGTGTTCTTATACGATTGGATTGTGTTTATAAGGACACAGTGTAATTTAAGAATAGTTCTCATCCTAAACTAATCTCAGGTAAAGAGTTGCTAGAAATCAAACAGTCATGAACTATTTTTTCCAGATTAAAACTTTCAATCGGTGTAAATCTAAGATCTGGAAAAGAATAATATACTTGACTTTTCAATCTCACTGTTGCCTTGATCTTGTTCAGATCCTGATTTCGTATCTAATAGTCTAAATTTCCAGCTTCAATCAGCTCTAAGTGTTGCAGCGTTCTGATATAATATCATACCCATGAGTAATTGGCTGATCATCACCCCGACTAATTCCATTCTCTGTAGAAAGTATGTGGAAGTATATATGATGAGTTTTAGATCTAATTATTTTCTTACTCCCAACTAAACACTTGGAAACTTTCAGGAAGTTTGTAGCTTTCATATCATGCAATATTAAATTAATTAATACTAAAACGTTACAGTAAATTCATTGACTGATTACCGTGACTAAAACGTTAACTTAAGCATAGTCACATTCACTTACTTCAGTTAAACACTAATGATCAAGAATCTAGAGTATAAATCATTGAATTTTAGCTATTTTCAGCCGACCAGCCTATTAGATGAAATTCACCTAGCAGATTGGGTAACAACCGATAATGTTATCCATCGTATTTTAATCAAAGTTTTATTCAGTGGTGTGACAATAACTGGTTTAAATTTTGTTGAATAAGATTAAACTTCTGAATGTACATGAGATTTCTTGTAAAAATGTTGAAGCAAACAATTTTGTGACATGTAGATTTTACCATAACCAACGTATTCATGATAAACTAGAACGAAGTAAACCTGTAAACTGTTCTTTACATTTTTTTAAATAAAAAGAACAGCTTGTTTCAACCAAATAACACTGGCATTTTTTCCGAATTATTATCCGAATCACTGTACCGAATAACTTGTAGATGTACTGGTTTTTAATAAAATTTGTGCACTGACTTGTACAAATCAACGGAGTTTCTTAGGGAAATAACTACTATTGTGCAGTGGAATGTCTGCTCGTAATAAGCTTTCACGAGTATGTTGTATAATACACAACGTTATGCTCATTTCATCCTGTTATTTTTCTTCTATGCCTCAGTTCATTTAATTAGTGAGTATTTCTCAAATACATAACTTAGTAACTATGTTAATATCGCGGAAATCAAGACTAATACAACTGACTTATTTGTCTGGTTAGTAATTCTATTTCAACCTGTTTAGTGTATTTGTGGGTGAAATGATGTTTAGAAGACAATTTCTCTTAGAAACATCTACCTATCTTTAGTCATCTACATGCTTCTTTTGGCCAACAGAATATGTTACCTTATGATTATTAACTCAGTCATCATTCCAAATGGTAGTTGAGTTATATGACAAGAAGTAATAATGTTGCTGATTTTTGTTTGCAGTGTATATTTGTGCGGTTTGTAGGTGTCTTTATGTATAGAGGTCACACACATATACAGATAGATAAATAAAGAAGAATAGAGAATCTTCATCTATTATTCAGTGATAAAAACAACTTGACATTCAGTAATAGCATATACCAATTCAATCTTGTTTAAACATGTTTTCTAATGTTCATGTATATACAAGTTTAAAAATGTGTTTTTTGTTATGGATTATGAACAAGTAGAATCGATCATTAAATATATTGGACATATTTAATCTATTTACTTTAAGATTACTCATTTAATTAGATCATTTAAGTATCCGTGTATGTACTCACGTGTAGTGTATGTCTGTATGATATCTAACTATTTTCGTTTTCACGATAAGGTGAAATGTGTATTCGCAAACATTTTAAATGCAGATTATGTGTTTAAACAACAACGGTGGTAATAATAAAACTGATAGTTAGATTAATGAAGATAATCATGGTATATGAAATAAATGTAAATGTAATTAGTTTGTGTGGATCATAACAAAGACTTATTTTATTTTTTTCAACAGTAAGGTCTTATTATAACCATTAATCAAATACTACTTGCGTTTCAAAGAGGTGTTTCAATAGAAATTTTTAAAGGAAACCCTGATTTGTCATAGATTACGCTCAATAAGGGTGCCATCGAAAATCAAGAAGCACGAAACAGTTGTTTCATCATAGTTCGGGACGTTATTTCATTTAATTTAAAACTTCTAAAACACTGAAATTTATCTTTTTCCCTAGTTTACTCCACAGCCATAGCTTTTTCTATCCCAAAGTTATTGTAAGATAAATATAATCTTTTGTACTCTATTTTCTAACCTAATCCCTGGTTTTGGACATAATTGTATTTTCTTAGTTGTTTGTGTGCTCTGTTCTTGTTGTTCATCTACTTGTTCATGTATCTTTTTGCACTAATCTGATGTTTGACCGCACAATTCCAATTAAGATTAATCGAAAATATTGCATGAAATCCTCCCAGTATCACTGATTATAGCTGACTTTTTCGAAAATGTGCATGACTTCGGCCAGTCTAGAACTTCAGAAAAATTATCACTAAGCTGACTACCATAGTCTGATTGAATATGTTATGTGGAGATTGGTTTGATTTGTAGCTGTTTTAAAGGAGACCAATTTCTAACGAACACAACTTACAAAATCAACTTGTCTACGCGATACTTTTTTAACTATATTCTAGTTTCACTGATAGATCATGTTTCATAGGTAATAATTGAACCATAACTTTGTTACGTGATGTAAACGACTGGATTATATGTAAATGTAACAATTCTCATGTGTTATATGATCATAATTAAATTAATCCTCAAGTATTTTAACACCAATTACTATTGGTAATATATTTTGACGGAAAAATACCTCATTATATATATATATATATATATATATATATATATATATATATATATCAAAAGATAGACAAACAGACAGTGATCGACAAAAACACTTACCAGGACACAAAACATAAATACAAGCAGCTGCTTGTGAATGACCATTACCATCATCAATGAAACAATCAGACTGAGTTATATCAGGTGGATTATTTTTGTTATGCACTATAAATTGTGAACTAACTCCTTTATGTTCTTCATTGTAACGTGTTAATTTAGACAATTTATTTTCCATTTCTTTATCATAATATGGAAAACAAGTGATTTTATTTAATCCAACTAATGTATGCGATAAAAGTTTTGATGGTGTTTGACTTTGTCCAGATGCACATTTAATTTGTATGCGACTTTTAACTGATTTTAAACCAACCTCACAAATAGGATTAGTATATTCTGATTTATAGGATAATCTGTGAATTCGATTGTATAAACTGTCATCGACATAATCGTCATCATCATCATTATTAATGCCTGATTGCACATGTAAACTATGAGTCCATGTCTGTAATAGAACAAATGTAAAACAGCAGTAAAACACAGTGAAATGATTGCATATATATATAGGTCAGACAAAAGTAGAATGATCCAATCTGTTTTATTACCCGGTAGGAAAACTGGAACAACATAAACAGAAGAACTATAGAACATTAAGTGGCATCAGAGTGCTGCTTTGTCATAGTTGAAAACACTCATAATTCAATCAATGATGAAACTTAGGACTTTCGATCCCTCGCCCCGACACGTCATATTTTGAAAAAAGTTGGGGCCCGTTGGTAGACTTTTCAAACTTCATTTAAATACTCTCAGGTTTTTAATTTTTGTCTTGGTGATATCAGTTTGTGAGGAAATCAAATAGACTTCATGAATGTTTTTTATCATAAGCTAAATTTGTCCCACAGTTTTATCTTTTTTTGTTAATTAAGATTGTTTATCATTCGATAAACATTTATCGTAGAAGTTGGACTATGTTAGAATTTTACTGAGATCATGAATCCAATAAAGTTAGTTAAATATCAAAAATCTGGAAGCACTGTTGGAATTTCTTATTTTCTTTTGTAATTTATGAAATTTAAAATGGTATCTACAGTTCATTATTCTTGTACATCGTTAAAGTTGTATATCGATCTTGAGAAATGATATTAATTTGAATTTTAAGAAAAACTTTATCAAATGATTTATTTTTACAGGGATTCATATTGTCAACATATTTTATAAACATTTTGAACTTTGAAATAGTTCTGAAAATTTTTAACAATCATGCTCTAAAACATCAGTTACGATTTGATCTATTCAAATATGACATAATGAGGTTGATTAATTTTAAACACACTAAACACAACATATAGTTAAAGTAACTAGAAGTATTGTCTTAGCAATAGTATTCACTTATTTATATTTGAACATCTAGGCTACCTGTTCCTGTTATCTAGATATTTCAACAAGTTATCTAATTTCATTTGTTTTAATACATCATTGTGGCTAATAACCACATTACCTACTCAAGTGCATTTCTGAAAAGTGTACAACCTTTCGTTGCACAAGATACAAAATGTCCAGTCAGAAATATCGTAGTTGCAGGCAATACGCACCGAAAAGAAAGCACATTATTTAGATGTCGATTGACTGGACTTCTAATATCTAACTGGTGACCATTCAATATTTATCGTCAGGATCAACCAAAAGAATGAGAAGTGGGAACTTGTTGAGATTCGTTGAGCTGAGAATTCTATATTGTACCTGTTGCGGACGTTAGATCCCAAGAACTCACTTGGTAAATACCTTATTTTTGTAATTTTATTTCAAAAATTTGAATTTCTTGTTTTTGCGCCAACAGTGCTCATTTTTACCTTTCTGTTGTATTTCCCATTTGAGAGAATTTTAAATGCTGTTGGTTCGTAGTATCTTTTAGTATACTATTTCGTAACGCTTCCCAATGAAAATTTTATTCTGCATACATACGTTTGATTTGTGTCTGTTGTTATTGCTTGTGCTTCTACCTAGTTGCGGAATATATTTCTCCGTTTCGAACATGGATTTCTCTCTCTAGTTAGAGGAGCTGGGACGCATCAGAATAGCTAACTTTCTGTCATTATATCACAGAATCTTCGTTCCATTCTCAAATCACTTCAAACATAACAGTATCACAAATATATTATTGAATAAAGCTAATAATAATAATAATCTAAATAAATATTTGCATTACCATAAAAAAAGAAGATTTATACTTGACTTATTAACATGAATATAAAGTTTTTATGTCGTTATATTAATTTTTATTTACAAAAGAAAAAAATATGTTTCAACTTGATTCCTAGTTAATCAACTCATATATACAAAATATACACAGATTCCTTTTTTTCTTTAAATTATTATTATTATCATGGCTAGTTCTTTCTTTATATAAATACTATGAATTTATTTATTCTAACAGATATAAAATATGATAAGTTTTTTTAAAAATATGAAACATGACTTTTGGCATTGTTTGTAACCAATTCAAACAAGATACATTTATATGATAAAAAAATTAATACAAACAATATTAAAGATTTCAACGGATGATAATTATTCATTAACTATCTTGGTTAGTCTAGTATTATTATTATTATACTACTGTTATTATTTTTTTCAGTGCAAAGGATGAGAACAAACCAAAAACCTCAGTTAATATTTATGAAAACAGAACAATAAAAAAACTGACTGATGTGTATTCATCACAGGTTATGAGTTGTATCATTGTTTAAATATTAATAATGATAGTATGTATTATTACATTATTATTTTATAATGACTATATTCAATATTTCCTTAAAATTAATTGATATGATTAGATACATAAGAAAGTCAAAGTTGAATTTCACCATAGATTGATATAAACCGAGAAACCAATGAAAACCAAAGAGCACTGGCATGTATCTCGTCTTAATATGGAATTCCTTTTAAATGTACACCTGGAGCATGACTACAGATAGAATTGAGAACGTTCAATTTTGGAAACGAGTACATTACCCATAAATAACCCTATGGTCTACATTTTCGATTCCAGATGGTTGCTAGCATGGTGTGAAATCATCCAATTTCATAAATGGGTAACTGGTTCACTTCTGAAAAGATTATATTCCACCAGTCATTTGATATTAATTCATGATGCAATCCAACTCACACTTCTATATACATATAAATCGAATATCAATTTAATCATGTTATTTTAATGGTGAGTTTCAGTAATATATTTGTGTTGTTATTGATTTGTGCTATCTGAATATATTGCATATATACATATATGCACACATTACGTCAATACATCCATTAACTTGCATTTCTTTTTAATTATAATGAACGGCATATTTATTTCTTATAAATACTATCGTCAGTTTATTATAACTAATTTGTCAAGTTAGACATTTATTTTTAGCATTTTGTATTTGGAATTTGCAACATACATGTATGATCTATCGAATATGAATTTATGCACAATTTATGAAGTGGATAATCAGAATGTTAGATTTTCAAGTTTCACTATTCCAATTTCTCCACTATAGGCTGTCGTTGTTATTGGTGTTAGTGTTCAAGTTTGTGTTCTCAAACATGATTAGCTGTCTGATGAATGATCATAACCTATTGCAGGCTAAAAAATAACTCGAGTTCATACATAAATGCTTATATTTAATTAACGATTTGGAGTTACAGTTGGTTTCCATGAAATTATTGATGACTATGAAAACACTGAAATCCTTTACAGCATAGGGCTATGTAATGCAAGAGAAAGCTTTATGAAAAGAAAATGGAACTAATTGTTAATGATATATTTTCGAGTTCTTAAAAGATCACATATATCCATACTCTTCTTGATAGATTAAATATTAGGTTTAATTTATTGTCAACTGGAATTTAGTCTGTTGACATTCCGTAATGTTTCAGTTTTATGACATAGTCAAGACATAGTCACCAAATTTAAATTATATAAATTGATCACAAATTCCTCAAAAACCTATTTTAATAGATCATAGCTATAACATTTTAAAAGCAAAGAGTGAAAGATTCCAAAATCTTGGGTTCAAATGCATCGACTAAGATGGTATTATTACCTAACCAGTTTCACTATAAAAATGTACTAAACTCAGTGAATAAGAACTTCATCAATATCTAAGAAAAATTTCTGTTAAACTTTGACTTCATTAATATTGTTAATAATATTTATAAATCAGGATATTCTTTAAAAGTTGTGTTTTAACAGCTTACTCTTCGCACACCATTTGGTAGTCAGAGACACAAGTACTTTAGAATTAATGTAAGGAAAGTGCGACAAAAGTCTACTATACCATATTTACTGAATATACTATTTGACAAATAGGTTTTCAGAGTTAATCTAATCAAAAACCTATGCATTTGAGCCTAAGGCTTATTTACTGTTGTCCTCATTTTCTTAGAAAAATTCATTTAGTTTTAATTTTCACTATATATATATATATATATATATATATATATATATATATATACTGCTGAATAAACATTATTAAATAAAGATTATTATTAGTACACCTAATATTGTGACCCTTCAATACAGAATAAATATGTAAAAATCTATGGGAACAAAATGTATACACTATGTCAGTTTATTCTATAGCTTTGTAGATAAATAGGTAGTAAGATATTAAAATTTACGACAGAATTTTCCCCTTAAATTTTTATGTGATAACAGTTACCAAGTAAATAGTCATGTATGATGTTCATACGTGGCATGTATGATAATATCTTATACTAAGACAAGTTCATTCAGCTTTAGAAAAACGCCTATATAAACGTCTTGGGCACATATTGTTTCTAAAATAACCGAACATTTTTACCGATACATGCAGTCGCAAGACAAAAATGGTATTCTGCCTTTTTCAAACTTCAATATATATTGGTTAGAACGGTGAGAAAGTTTTCACGCCCTAAAACACCATAAATTGGGATTAGTAGTGCGCCACTGTTAATAGGAGAAAGGATTTACCAGACAATACATGTAGAAATAATCAAGTCATACGTAGGACTAGCATTATCGTTGGTGGAAATGAGTAACAAGATATACTCTTATATACTACATAGTCTCATTTCTACCTGTCTACAGGCTTTCACTCAATAAATTAAATTTATCATGATAATTGTCATTCAGGTAAGTAAAACTAATTTGTTTACTGATGATAATTAATTGTGAACTTCCATAACCTATTTTATGAAACTATGTTTCTTAAATATCGTCTGAATCAGTTTGATGTCATTTCCGTATCTTCCTTTTTTTGAAATGTTATCACCTTTCAAACACTCAGTTTCATTAATCAAAGTATCTCAACCTTTTGTTTCAAACCAAATTATTCATTGTGATTTGGAGCTGTTAGGAATCTTGTTATTCCGAATTTACTCAGTTTGAGAAAATCAGCCTATATAAAGACATAACGTGTGTTTTTATGTAGACAAAATGATTTAACTTGAAACAATAAAAGGGTTTTTTTTGTAATTTAATTGGTATCTAATGTGACCGTCAGCAAAAAGATTGTTATAAGTTTGAATTAAGCATTACAAAAGAGTCCATCATTTAACAAAACATTCCTGAAAGTAGTAAACTCGAATATGAAGATGTTGTTGTGCAGAAATAGTAGTACTCTGGACTTACAGTCAGTTGTTCTTACCAACATAGAGAGTAACACAGATGTGGTTTGCCTCAAGTTATCGTACTATTTTAGAGCGATGATATGAAATTAAGAAAGTGAGCAGTGAAAGAAATTGCAATAATGTTGTGGCAATAACAATAAGAAAAATAAGCACTGAATGTTTGGAAAATGCTAGAATAGGAAGGTATGCATGAAGTAATACCAGAATTGAAGATCGAGAGGAAGATAAGGAGTGAATGGATTTGTACCACTGACAAGCGAAGCTGTCAGCCGTTGGGTAAAGTTATTTTATTGATCCCAACCAGGTAGTCTGATTCTAATAAGATGGCTCAGACCAATAGTTGTTAACTTGACGAACGTAAGGCACATATTGATTTATCATTCTTCCAGCTCACTCCTATACCAACAAACATTGGCTGTCGAGGTTGGTGGTGGCTGTGCATACAAATTAAATTAGCTATTCATTGATTGTTATAAAGAAATTCAAGTCATTCAATACAAAAACGTTTCAAATAAATATAGCCTTAAGTGAAGATTAAACCCAAACTTTCATAGATTAATTTCCTTCATTACTACTGAAATTTATTTTTGAAACTTACACTCTTAAACAATTTCCTCAATAGAATACAAACCTCAAATAATTCAACAATTTAACGTATATAGCAATATAATAATAAAGGTAATCATAATAATCATGAAAACTTACTGAATTTTTCGCCTTCCAATAAATACCTTTAACTGATGTTGCACAAGATGTTGTACACTCAATAAAAATTCCATTTTCTGTGTATGCTTTCTTATTGATTAAATCAATTGGATTATTTAAAGTACCTAGACCATAAATATGTCCAATCATAGATTTTTCTTGTAATCGGGTTGAATCAACTTTATTAATGATTGTAGGATTTTGATTTATAGGCTTAACATTAGTTGGAAGTGTCAACAGTTTCGGTGGATAAACATCTGCTTTTACTACAGGAAATGAACCAAATGGCAACAACAAAAAAATTAGACATTTTTAATGATATGGTAATGTAGAGATGAAAAATAAATACAATATTTTTTCGATTGTCGAAAAGGTATTATTCTACAGTTTGTTCGAGTGTCGGTCAATGTGATCTAGTGTACTGTCAGAGCTATGTAGGTTGTTGTCGTCATATCTTGGTTATCACCCTTCAGAAGGATACTTCTTGAGATGCTTAAGAAGGAAACTGGCCTATTAGCTGTCATGGAGACTTAAAAACATGATCCCAGAGGCCAAGAGACAACTGTCTGAGGGCGGTTGCGTATAGATTTTATGTCAGAAGTTCTTGATGCGTTAGCTCCGTACTTTAAATCTCTTATCCTAGGCGCTGGCAATCCATAGGGTGTGATCAGATGTTCTATTTTAAGGATGTCACTGTCGTCAGATTACGGTACAGTCAGTGGTAAAACACTGCCCCCGAACATTAAGTTGTCGCTCCTATTTTTATTGTTCTTCAACCAACTTACCCGGCATGGTAGGACACAAAGGAATAAGTGTTCGAAGAAATTTAACATGAGTAGGTTGTATTATTTCGGTCGTCGCTAATTGTTGTGTAAGAATCGCTTATCACTTTACTTGTAAAACGAGGAACCACTGACGCGAAGTAAGAACACCAAGAGTGATACAAGTAAAGATTCATTAACCCCAAAACACGACGACCCTAGTCTAAATTGCACTCGTCTATATGTTGATTCGTACACCCATTTTGATTAATAGTTACAATGAAATCATATATATATATATATATATATATATATATATATATATATATATATATATATATATATCATGCCGAGTATAGTCCATGTTAATTTTACGCATTACAGAATAAGATATACTGGAAAACAAAACAAATATTACACTGAGTAATTATCATATTGAATTAAAAAACGGAAGTAATGCTGGACACGAAACCAAAATGTGTAAAAGAATGTAATTTGACGTTTCATCACGTCATATCACCTCCCTTTCTTTTATTAGAATACGTAAGAATGAGTTTTCTGTGGAGAGTCTATTCGAAAGGTTGTTGTTCTTTTTTGTGTACTTACTGAGATCTCTGCAGGTCGCACAGTCATGTTCCAGCTTCATTTGGTTTTTTCAGCCTCATTTGAAACAAACTCTATTTAACCTTCTGACTTCTATGGTTCGCTCCTTCTTTCAATGCACATATAGTTCCCCCTCCCCCATGTTGGGTCTTCATGCATCCATGTTACTAATAATGTGACTTTATTGACCTGAACTGTTTTATCACTACTAGTGTAGTGAACAAAACACCAGTGGGGAAAATCGAATATATTTGACACGGAATTACAGAGCATCTCAATAAAATCTGAGAACCATATAGTAAATCGTTAATTTGCTAAATATCAATCCATCATCTCAAACTGGACTGTTTCTGTTGCAAACATCAATCCATTATCTCAGATTGCATTGTTCATGTGTTTTCATACCAATTGCGTTCCGTTCCTGTTCTTTCCTTATCGACCTTCTACTGCAATACATTCTATGCCTGACCACCGTTATATACTACTTGTGTGGATGTAAATAACCCACCACACTAGCACCTTCACTATATGTGCGTTTTAAGGCATGTGGATAAACAGAGGTTGAAGGATCCTTTTGTCGCTCCTGGGCATTCTGGTTTCGCGACTGCTTCACAAGCACTTATGTCAATCGATTTGTCATAGCACTGAGGAGGGATTTCATGTGACATATATGAGTTGTGAGAGTACCTAACATCTGCTACCGTGACATCTGAAATGTGACCAGAATGTGGCTCATTTGAAAAATTTTCCTCACACTGACTAAGTGTGAATGCATGGTCCATCAGAACTATAATTAGATTTGAACCTATTGAGAATTTGTGCTTCATACTGACTAAGGTTTTTACCATAAACGAGTGTTTTGTGAGAACAAACAACGTTTGCTATGATATCATCAGACTTTGATCCATTTGAAATATTTTTCTCAAATTCGCTAAGAACTAAGTTTGAAACTAATGAATCGTTAAGATAGTAAGCATTTGATTGACATAGTTAGAAATTTGATGAGAAATCGATTCATTTTAAACATTTGTCTCACCATGATTTTGAATTTCACTCGAGGTAACTGGATAATTAAAATAAAAGAACATTTGGCTTCTTCCTCAATCACAAAACTGTTTCTTATTACATCAGGAAATATATCAGTTATCTCGTCAAATATGTCCATAATTTTTGAGTGATTCCGGATTTTATTGTATGAGCATGTGTTCTTTCAATGCATTAATGAGCATTAAATGAGATCTAATGAACACATCTTCATTAAACTGAAGCATTGACTTCAGTTTACTTCACACAGACGTTTCTGAGACTGAAACTGACATGTTCTTACATGATGATTTGTTGAAACATCCAGTCTCTGTCCGAAAAAAATCCATCTAACAAGCTGATCGGATTTGAACAAAACTTCATTCGACTACAAAGATTCTTTAAAATGACCAATTAAAAAAGAAGCTTAAGTTTAATGTTTAGAAATGTACACAGCCTTAACTTTTATGAGTTTTCATATGTGCATAAATTAGTTGTTTAACAATTTCTACGAACTTTAGTAGATGAATAAATAATATCAACTTTCGATGAAGATATAACGTCAATAGTCTTAAATTACTATAGTATTTGTTTACTATTTACAACACTTACTGTCATCACGAAGACAAAAATCTATCAAAATGTTTACTTGATAATTTGACATTCAATAAAATCATTTTCTATTATCTAATCATCATCTCTAGTTTAAATTGGTGACAACTTAAGGAGTATTAAAACACATAAGTACAATTCATTAAAATACTTATTAGAATTTCTTTTTTTGTTTGTTTCAATATTTGCCAGGAGTTTAAAAATGAGATTTACACAATTATTATTAGGCTGGTTCCAGTATACATTATTACCTATCATGTTGTAGGTGAATCAATATAATTTTTGAAAGTCGGAACAAGGTTGAATGCATTATTTTTTGTATTTTTTGACTAAAGAGATTTTGGTCGGTTCCTGGATGTGAACTAATAATCGGATATACAATATGTCAATATTTAGATATGTTTTGTTTACTGAAACGTCATCTAAGTGACATTCACTGATACAATTATGTGACCTATGTTAGATGTTTTAGTCAAACAAAGCTAGTTTTTGAGGTGCAGATATCTGAAAGCGAAAACATGAGTATTATTTAGGGTTTGGGAAACAAATTTGTAAGGATATAAAGGTGTCTCTATTTCCAGCCCCATCGCCTCCATTCATCCTCTCCTACCAGTCAAATTATCATACCAGAGGTTTATTAGGTCAGCTACTATCGGATCAGATTTTAGTACCAGTTCTTAATTTTCTTAATCACAGTTTTGCCATCTTATATACCTTTTTCCAATAGTAAGGTCGATGCTGTTTACAAAAAGATATTTGGTGGTGCCGTATTTCCAAGAAAAAAACAGTTTGTCTAACAATTAACACCCAATAAAAATGAAATTTGCAGTCATTTCATAATCAGAGGAAGTCAATAAAAACATAATGGTTGTTATTTAAAATACGTGTGGCGAATGAAAGAGAGCCTTCAATGATCGACAAGATTGTCGGCTATACGAAAGTTAGTTTGTTGAAACATCTCTTATCTAATAATATAGACATGTTATTTAAATTTAATAGTTAGAACTTTATTCAGTTTATGCTTATCGATTATGAGGTAAGTTAAAGGCTCATCTGTTAGGAAATTAAATAAATACCATTTGCTTATTTTTGACTTCTACAGCTGAATCATTAGTTACTAGTGATTTTGTGTATACTAATTTCTGGATGAAAATAATAGCTCAAGATTTCTTCAGTATGAACCGTAGAGTGTTTAAAAGATCTTAAAGTCTTGGTTTGCACAAATGTTATCCTAGATCTTACGTAGTAGGTAATTTAGACGAAATTTCCGCATATGTGCTCGACATCAGAGAGGTAGTATAAACACTGTGTAAGGTACGGATCCATCTGGAATGAAATTTCTTCTCAATGATGGACAGTAAAAATGTAGTTCGCCGGGTTTAATACGTCGTAGGTGTTGATATAACATACGAGTGCAATAAAAATAAAATATTTCTATTAGAACTATTAACATTAGAAATCTCTATAAACGCCATACTGATAGCGTTTACATTCCCTGCTAATGAAATATTCAAAATGGTTAGTAAATTTATAGTGCTGTTCCAAGAAAGTATATTGACAAGGATACGAGTAAGATGTTCCATGAATGAAAATAGCTCTACTATAAATGACATCTCATCAACCAGCTATCTGGGAGCTTATCATCATTTATGCTAAGTTCACAAAATACCCAACGTTTTTCAGCGGGTAAGTTAAAATGGATTATATGTACAATCTACTTGTAGAATGCGCCTATGAGTACACTTTAGCTCTTTTTCATCCTAGTAAGGAACAATTTTTTATCGTTCAAATGAAAAACAAACTGTGTGATATCAAAAAATGAAGAATGCATATATAATCTTTCCTCGATTCTCAATATTTTACGTTGAAGGTCCTAAAATACTCCAAAAAGAAATTGGTTTAAATAGATTACTAAATATTTCTATCCTTAAGCATGGATGAGGCATCATTTTCAGAATAATTTATGAATAAGGCACCTAGCGTTTATTAAACATGACCCAATATCATATATACATCAATTCAAAATGAATGGTCATCAATTAATAAGTGATATTATTATTTGAATGAGTGATATGGCGTGAAATTTCAGACAGTACCTCAGTTAATGGTCTGAATTTACTCACAGTACTCGCATCAAGAAATAAAAATAATTACTTTTACTAGTCAAAAATGGTTGACTCATGCTTGCTTGAATATCTGGGCTACCTGTTCCTGTCATCTGAATATTTCAACAGGTTATCTGTTTTCTTGTTTATTTTAACACATCA